ACGCCTTTGCGCAAATCTGCTCAGCATCATGAGGTAGCAAACCCTCCAGCCAAGACGAAAGCACACAGCTGTGTCCTCACTCTTTCTTCAGCGTCTGTGTCTGGAGTAGGAGAAATGGCCCACGTGACATTCCCTGCTCCCCCACACATACAGATGACATCTGGAAACGCCATTGTGTGCTTCAGCAGCTGACTACAGCCGCAGTAGGCAGATCGTTTTTACAGTTCTCTGCCTTACTCAGAGGCAGGGGCAGGATAAGGGAGTACTCAAAAACACAAGCTCTGGATGCAGGGTCTTGAGAGCAAATCCCAGCTTTGCACCCCTGTGACCTTGGCTTTGTATCTTAATTTCCTCATCAATAGACATGGAGTGTCCAAATCACAAAATGCATATTTTAGCGGTGTCTGGGAAATATAAGAGTTCAAATGCTACAGGGCTTTATCCTCTGTGTTTGGCTTTGGCAATGCTCACTGGGAATGTATTATCTTCAGGCATTGTTGTAGGGACGAAGAATATATCAATGAACAAAATAGCTTGTATTCCGGCAAGAGAGAGACCCAGAATTAACAATTAATATGAAATGAGAAAACAAAGCCAAGGAGGAAAAAAAAAGATAGCGAATGTTTTCTTTGGAAAGGAAAATGTAAAACAGAGCCAGGGGCAATAGGAAGCGGCAGGGTTTGCAAAGCTGACCAGTGTGGTTTTCTCTCAGAGGGGCCATTGGAGCTGAGGCCTGAAGAGTGAAGGAAAGCTGGGCATGGTTTGCCAGTCTATAATCACAGCATTTGAGAGGTATGGAGGCAGGGAAATCAAGAGGTCAGGGCTAACCTTGGCCATGGAGAGAATGTGAGGTCAACCTGAGACCCTGTCTCAAATAAACAAACAATAAATGCATGAACAGTCAGGCGGTGGTGGTGCATGCCTTTAATACGAGCACTCGGGAGGCAGAGGCAGGCGGATCTTTGTGAGCTCAAGGCTGGCCTGGTCTACACGAGCTAGTTCCAGGACAGGCACCAAAAACTCAGAGAAACCCTGTTTTGAAAATTCAAATAAATAAATAAATAAACAAACTAATGAATAAATATAAAAAAGAATGAGGAGTTGGGGGGGGCGCTTGGGGAGAGGGAAGTCGTGTAGGGTCTTAGAATAGGGCTCCAGGATAATGGGATGCACCCCTGTGAAGGTTTCTAAGGAAGGAGAGCAGTTGGTTGGCTCCCATGGAAGGAAGGTGAGCAGAGTGGACGGAGTGGAGTGAGGAAAACAATAGAGAAGAAGAGGGTCTCAGAAAGTCCACGAAGCTAAGCCAGGTCCTACACTGTAGGGCTTGTTCCCACTGTGTGGACTACAGCAGGTGCCCTGTGGGACACGCAGGGCTTTACAAAGGGCTGTCTTGTAACCTGTTGTGTTTTAAGGAGCCTGTAGGAGGTGTATGCAAAGAGAGACCATGACCAGGTGGAGGCAAGGAGGCCTGCTGGGAGCCCAGGACAGCAACTGTAGCGAGAGGTGAAGGTGGTACAGTAGAAGCAATGGGAAGGGTGAGGATGTGGAGACATCGGGGATCTGACGAACAGAAGTTTATGTCGGGCGCAAAGGCAGGAATAGCCAGGCATGATGGTGCCCACATGTAACCCCAGCTCTCCAGAGGCTGAGACGGGAAAGTGGCTGTGAGTTCTACACCAGCCAGAGCTACACAGGGAGACTCTCTAAATGGACATCTGTCACATAAGCTTTTGATACAAGCCACAATGATACAGGGAACCCCGCACAAAAGGTATGCCATCTTAGGGCATATGAAGTCACCCATGGAATGGGAAAGATGAGGTCAAGCCCTGGATTCACTTGGCTGTAAGAGGTTAGAAGGCTGGAGAAATGACTGAGCAGAGAAAAGCATTTACCACACAAGCCTGACAAACCAAGTTTGATCCCTGGAAGTCACAAAGTGGAAGGGGGAACTCTTATCTCCATAGATACCATGACACTCATACAATAATATTTACACATCCATCCATCCATTTGTCTGTCTGTCTATCTATCTATCTATCTATCTATCTATCTATCTATCTATCTATCT